CAGTTTACCAGCACACCACCACCTCCCCAAGCTGCTGGCACTCAAGTTTTTGTCTGGAGCCCTTTGCACAAATCCCCCATGTTCGGGGATGAGGTGGAGATCCCGCCTGCCCCCAGGCTTCGGCCCCTCCCACAAGTGAGCCTCCCCTGGGCTCTACTTTCCATTTTGCCTTGTGGGCTTCTTCCACGACCCCCTTCATGGGCTGTGGGGGAGTAGCCACAGGCCTTGATCTTGCCTTGCCCTGCTGCAACAGGTGGAGCCACCTGGACCTGGGTGCCTCTGAATCCTGATGAGTCACATTCCATCAGGAGGACCAAAGAGGCCTGGAAGCTGCCCCTGCCAGGTGGGGAGGGGGGCCCTGTGGCCCAGGACCCCTACAGGGAGGTGCTCTTGGGTACACGGCTGCCTTAGTACTCACTCATTCTGCACAATGGCCAGCCCTTCCTTTGGGAACACAGCCCCGTGTGGGGGGAGCTGCTCCGCCCCCTGCCCCGCTCCCACCCTGGACTCTAGTAAGGGCTGTCAGTCACAGGCACAGCCCCTCCCTGGCCTCAGTCCGTCTACCCGTAACCCCAGTCACCACATGACTCAAGCAGACCACTCAGGGTTCCTCCCCAGGATTTCAGCCAGATCAGAAGCCCTGACAACAGCTGTAGGGTTTCATAGGTGCTTTTCCAGGGTGGAGTGAGTTCTCTTCTAATCTATATTTGTGGAGAAGATGTAGGAACTTCAGAGCCTCAGGCTTGCCCCGGACCCCCAGTCAGAATCTGCATTTTAAGATCCGCAGATGGTTTGTCTGCACAGGAAGATCTGAGAGGCACAGGAATAGGCTTCTAACTGTTCCTTTCATGCTTTCTACCTTTTTTTCTTTATATATTCTGGCAGATTTCCAGTTTTTTGTCTTCCAAATTAATTACCGGGCTTTATTCAGCAACGCTATTTTTAATTTCCAAGAGCCTCTGCATTCCCTTTTGTTTATAGCGATGCACTCTCATTTAACAGATGTGATGCCTCCTTGAATGTCGCCAGGGGTTTCAGTCCATCAGTTCCGGACTCTGTTTCCGGGACAGCCGCTCCCCTTCCTCATGGGGACCTCCCTCTTCTAGCTGCTGGTGTCTTTCACACTGAATTGGCCTGAGCTGAGTTCTCCTAGTTCAGGAAGAGGGGGCTGGGTGGCTTTTCTAGGTGTCTGCCGGACAGGTTCTCCGCTGTTTGCTCGCCGTTCTCTCACTGACTGCAAAGGCTGCAGGAGCCCTGGGGGAGTGGGTGGGGACCGTCCTAGGCTAGGCAGTCCCTAAGTGGTGGGGGGCGGTGGTGTGGTGGACATGGTGATCCCTGCCCAGCTCTGGAGAGTGGCTGGAAGGCAGCCCCTGGGCGTCAGCTCCTCCAGGGGCAGCCTTGCTTTCAGACAGCTGCCCTGTGCCTGGCCGTACCGTCCCCAAGCCATGACTGAGCCAGGCAGAGCTCCATGCTAACCTGGCCAAGCTTTCGCAGTCTGGTGTTGCCAACTGACCCTCTGCTGCCCGAGCCTGCTGCCTCTCCTTGCATGGCATTGAACTCCAACAGCTATTCTGCACCCCAAACTCCCTCTCAGCATCTGCTTCTGGAGAACCCCATATGGGTGGGCTGTTCCCTGGAGCAGTCAAAAAAAACAGTGTTAAGATGGGGCTCGGGGCCTGGGTTGGCACACTACCCAGCTGGCAGTGAGGTCCCTGGCATTGGTGGGTGGTGGAGCTGACAGCTCCTGGCCGAGGGTGGCCATTAGCCATTAGAGCTTCTGATGGGGATGAATCAGCTGGATGGCTAATGCTAAGCCCACTCATGCCTGGCAGGAAGATGATGAACACCAAGGGCCAGGCTGCTGAAGACCAGGCAGGGCCTCTGGTCACGTGCATAGTTCTCATCCCTGGCAGGGAGGGTGGAGAAAGCCCAGGAACAGCTGAACCTCGAGGACTGTTAGCTGCCAGCCAAGGCCAGCCTGTGCACGCAACATGGTCAGAGGCCAGGCTGGGAAGCCCAGGGATGCACACCTCAGGCAGGGAGGCCCCTGAAGCGTTGACCTCGAGGCTCTTCTGGACCACCTGAGCCTGCAGACATGACCTCACCTGCCCTAGCCCCGGGAGATGATGCAGAAGCTTGGCCTCCTCCCGCAAGATGCCATGAAACCCCCAGGACCACGGCCCTCCCTGCCACAAGGACTTTGCTGGAGGGCGTCCAGCAGAAACCCAGCCATCGCAGTTGCTCCTGAAGGAAAGGGATCCCACCAGAGGAGCTGCAGGACCCTGCTGGCCACCTCGTGGGACAGAAGCTGGAGGGTGCCTGGTCTCCAGAAGAGGGGAAAGATGCTGGACAGCACTGGGACCCGGGGGGTCATACAGGGTGGGATGGAGGCCACAATGCCAGCAGGAGCGTCCTCTGACGAACAGCCCCAGGTTGCAGCAGAGACAGGCCAGGCTGGAGGACATGGTTCTCCAGGGCCATGGAGGGGTACTCAGGGAACCTCAAAACTCCCTAGAACTTCCGGAAGGAAGGTGGGTCCAGGTTTCCAGCTGTGAATGGAAGAGGAGGGGCTGGGCCTCTGCTGGGAATTGGGACCCTCTCCTCCTCCACAATAGGCCAGTCCCTTCGCTGGCTCCTCACTGAGAGACAGGACCCCCAGGTGGTGCCACTACGTAGAGAACGAAAGGGCACCCTTTCCCCCAGCATCCAGTCCAGAGTCGGGGTGAGGGCCAGACCAGCACATGCACACCTCAACCCACACTGGACGGAAGGAGAATGCTCCCCGTTCCCAGGACTGTCCCTGGCCAGAGTGACCCTGTCTCCCTGCCCTGGCCTGTCTGGGAATGCCCAGAGTCCTTCTGTGTTTGACAATCCCAGGACTGTCACATGGGAACAGCATGGTGACAGTGAATGCATCATGACATGCCACCACAGGACAGGAGTTCTGGTCCCCACTCATTAGGGATAAGAACCGAGCTAGGGTGCTGCAGCCCTGACTCATTCCACGTCTGCCACCCCAGGTAAGCAGGGGTGGGGACGCAACCAGGACCCAGGCCTCAGGCAGGAGAACAGGCTGCAGCGTGTGCAGAACACAGAAGGAACACAGGGTGGGCCTTTCCCCAGGGCGGCTTCCCCAGGACACCAGCAGCCCCGGGCCTGCCAAGGGCCCATGGGCTCTTTGGCTTCCTGCGGGGACCTGGCAGGAAGCAGAGGGACTCGGGGCCCTGCGCGATGGGGCTGTGGGGAGACTGCCAGGTGGGCCCTGGGTGAGAGCAGGGGCCTCGCCCATCTGCCCCGAGGCCCACGGGGCCCCTGTGCACAGCAGGTGGTGAGCACCAGGCTCCAAGCTCTTCTGCAGAGCACACATGAGGAAGCCAGGGGAGGCACAGTGCGCCTGCCTCCCTCCCACCCGGTGACATGTAAAAGGGGCAGCTGAGCCAGTAGCTGGGATGGGGCTGGGAGTCACTGCCCAGCTGAGAGGGACAGCGGAAGAGGCCCGACTCACCACCACAGGGGCTGGCTGTGCCAGGGAGAGCTGGCTCTCCGGGAAGTCCGCCTGCATGCCTGAGTTTTCTGCCCTGAGGCCTCGGCCCGTTGTCTGCAGCTGGTCTGGGCTGAATTTGATGTGCCTCCCCCAGGAGCCAGTGGCACCAATCCGGGGCCTCCTGGGGTGGCTGATGAACCCACCAGCTGGGAGCGCCATGCTGTGCCCAGCATGCCAGCACTTGTGGAGGATCCTGAGCTCATGCTCCTTTGCTCTCCTGCAGGAGACGGAGCCTCCCTGTTGGGACCACAGCTCCACACTGCGGCCCTGCAGCCTGGCTGAGGCTGCGGACGCCGGCCGGCCCTGGTCCCTTATCCCTGGCTTCGCTGCTCTGGCCCCAGCACATGCGCCCCCAGCTGAGGTGACAGACTGCAGAAAATACAGCCTGCGGCTGAGACGCGTCACACCTGCCCCCTCCCTTCCCCACGGAAGCCCACAGCCCCTTAGGAAGCACTGGTGTCCCACGGGAAGAATGTTCTCTGGGTGGTGAGCTGATGTAGCCGACTCCCCGGTGGCTGGAAGTGCTCTGGCCGCACCCAGCTGTCCTGACGCGGGTGTGACGGCAGAGGTGGACCCACGCCCAAAGCCCAGACGAGGGCTCTGCTTCCGCTCTGCCCCCGCTCTGCCCGTCTTGCCAACCTCAGGGTCAACCTCGTGCCTTCCTCTCCCGCCTCTGCTCCCCAGGCAAGAGGGGGGCCTGGGGCACCGGGTGGGGCTCGGCCCACAGCTGCGCAGACTCTTTTCTGCATAAGCACTTAGCTGGGTAAACTACTGACACGGCCCGCTTTGTAAAACGCTTTATTTTCAAATAATTGTTCTTTCACATCAGACGGGTGCCAGCACCGTCCACGACTTCCCTGCAGTCTGCAGCCCGGTGCTCCTGGAAGCCCACCCGACCGGGGCGCGCTGGGAGTGCTCCGGGCCCTTTCCCACGGGCGCTGCGCCCAGGAGTCAGGACGGTCGGCCACCCGCCCCACCACCTCAAACCCGACAAGCGCCTAGGACGCTCTGAACTTGAGCAGCCCCACAACTCCCGACCTTCCGTGGACGGGAATTTACAGTAAATGCCAAGTGCTGGCGACTGACCCAGCTGGGCGCTGCGGTTTTTGCTCCGCGGCCTCCAAGGGCTGGAGCCCCCGGGGCCCGCCTGCTCTTCCGCGGCCTCAGGGGCCTGTCCCTGGACCAGCTCTCCAGGGCGGACCTGGCACCGCCGGCTGCTGCGCACGGCGTCCGCGGAGCGAGAACGCGGGGAAGCGACGAGGGGCCGACGAGCGGAGAGCCGAAAGCTGGAAGCCCGGGCCAGGAGCACGCGGCAGACAATCGCGCAGGCGCTGAGGGCGTGCGCCAGTCACGCAGGCGCAGACTGAGTGAGGGCTCGGCGAGGGCAGCTGCGAGCACAGACGCACACGCTTTCGGCGTAAGAACGGAACGAAGTAGCAGCGAAGGCGTGCGCAGGCGCAGAGGGGTTAGGAGGGCCCGGCGCACGCGCGTTGGCGCGCAAGGGATGGGCGGAGTGTTGACTACCCTGGGATGGCGGCCAGCGGGTACCGGGACGGCGGAGCCGTCAGCGACCCGCAGAAACCGACTTCCTGACGCGGCCGGAGGGCGGGGTCGCTCGGACTGCCTCCGCCGCTGTCATGTATCCGGTGCCGCCCCCGGCCCCGCAGCGGGACTTCATCTCGGTGACGCTGAGCCTTGGTCGGGGTCCCGAAGACGGCAAAGGCTGGCGGCGGCGCTCGTGCTGGAGGGTGAGGGTCGCGGCGGGGTCTCCCGTGCCCCAGCCGAATTCCACTCGCTCTTTGGGCCGGGGGCCGTCAGCAGGGCGGGGCCTGGGGGTCCGGGCGGAAGCGCGAGTCCTGCCGGGTTCCGCGCGTCCAGCTGTCACCGCACCCGGAGGAATCCGGAGATGCTCCGAGAGCACCTTCCCCCTCGGGGCAGCGGGTCACGTGCCCAGCCTGCTTGAGCCCTGGCGTGCACCTGCTGGTCTCGGCTGTGCACGTGCCAGGCCAGCTGGGTGCCTGAATAGGGCACGCGAGGGGCGGGCGTCCCTCCACTGCCCGCGCAGTAGAGCGGCCTCTCCTTTGGCTTTTGTCTCGCCTTACCTCCCGATGCGCTGGGCCCTCTGGAGTGTCCCCACCCTGCTGGCACAGAGCAGCCCCCGGTTCTGAAGCAGAACTCAGCACGGACCTGGCGACCAGTCGCTGTCCTGGCCCAGCACGGAGCAGTCCGAGAGATTTCCACCGCCACTTGCAGGGCAGTGCGAAACGTCATCTCCGCCTCTCCCTTAGAAGTGGAAGCAACTGTCGAGATTGCAGCGGAACGTGATTCTCCTTGTCGTGGCGTTTCTGATGCTCTGCGGACTCCTGTCCTACATCAGCGTGGCTGACCCGTGGAAAGGTACCTGCCGCACGTGTGTGACCGCCTCGCCGGGGCGTGGGTGGGCCGTGGAGGCGGGACTGGGCAGGAGCAGCCTGGCCTTGGCCTGCAGCAGACCCTGGATGCATAAACGCCCACGCGCTGGCAGGAAATGGAGGTTCAAGGGAACAGAGAGCGTCTTAGACCACCTGGCTGGACTTGGGTGGGCGTGTGATGCTGTCGGGCTGCTTCCTAAGTGTCGGGTGTGAGCACTGCCATCTCCGTTCTCGGCGCCCCACAGAGAAGGTCCTGAGGCCACAGCTCCGTCTGTGGCACCCCGAGAACCTGGGAGCACGCGCTCCCGTGTTTCTGCAGAGACAGGAGCTCTGTGGGGTGGGAGGCCCCCGGGTCTCTCCGACGTTGCCTCTCTGAGGAGGAGAGCTACGAGCGCTCGGTCCCGGCAGTGGTCCGTCGGCCACCACTTGTACTTACTTCCTAGAATGGGAATCGTTCAGGCTGGGTGTTTGGGGGAAACTGCCAAGGGCTCGGAAGAGGTTTGATCCCCTTTGGGCCTATCCAGTTCACCTAGATGACTTTTCTGAGGTCTCAGGATGTCTTTTGTAACGAACGCTGCCTGTCTGGGTGTTTCGGTGGCACCCTTGGGACGTCCTCTGGGCCTCGTGGCACATCGGAGATGACACAAATCCTCTTGCTTAGCCGTGCGTGGCCAGTCACCGGGAGAGCAGAAGACGGGACCAGCAAATCCACCCGCCCTGCCGGCGCCTCAGAAAGCAGATGCTGACCCCAAAACCTTTCCAGGGGCTCCACCGCAGGTACTTCCAGCGAGCTACACGGGGGGCTGTGATCAGGGTCGGTGCAGAGGTGATTCGGAACAACACACAACGTTTCAGGCAGACAGAGGAATTCTTGGTCTCGCCCCAGATGCACACTGTGACCTCACGCTTCTCTTTCTGGGCTGGCGGACGGTCACCAGGGAAGGAAAGAGGAACATGCGTTCCTCCTTTCTTGGACGCCTGCCACGTGCTGGGTCCCTTGTTGGGTGGCCAACGCATCCGACCCATACCTCCCTGGAGGAAGCATGGGCAGGGCTAGCAGGAGAGGCAGGCCAGCAGGCCCTGACCAGTGGGAGCCGGCAGGCAGCCCAGGGAGCACATCCCTCGAGGGACCGCCCAGACCCCCATGAGAGGAGGCTGGGGCCGGCTGGTCTGGAAGCCTCCCCACGGCCAGACACTAAAGCACAGTCTGGGGGTGAAGCGGTGGCGCTGGTTAGAGTGAAGCTGCCCAAGGTGGGGGGAGGTTGGCTTGTCCTAGGAGGTACCCCCAGATGCCTGGGCAAGGAAGGGGCTGGGGTCAGTCCAGCTGGCTGTGGGGGTGCTCCTGGGCACAGGAAGCGCATGAGGCTCGAGCCGGCACACGGGAGGATTTCGGCTGGGCCTGGATGTCTGAGCTGTTGCTGGAAGAGGCTCTGGCTGCTGTGTACAGATGGCATGCAGGGTGGGGGCGTCCTGGGCAGCGGGCAGGAGGCAGGAGAGCCAAGCTGCCTGGCCTGGGGGGAAGGCCGGGCAGGACAGGCCATGTGATGGCCAGGGAGGGTCTGCGGGGCAGGGGCCCTCCAGGGCCCAGCAGGAAGCTGTTTGAGGGACACTTGGGCGACAGTTCTGGACCTGCTCATGGCTCCGTGGAGATGTGCTTGGGTGCAAGGTCTGGGAAAGGGGTGCCTGTTCAGAAGAGGGCAGGAAGGACCAGGAGCACCCCCACCCTTATGATTTGGGGAGGGCCGTGGAACCTGGAGGGTGGTCAGGAGGCACCGGAGTACCAGGATGCACCCCTCTGGAGGCAGGTGGCTCCAGGGGAGGCAGCCCCTAGGACACTGGGCACCGGGCATCTGTGGATGTCCTCTGTCCCCAGTCAGGGCATCAGCGGGGCCAGGCTGCCCAGGGAGAGGGTCCAGGGCACGCTGTGCTTCGGGGACCTCTAGCACCTGCTCTCCCACCTAAGCCCTGTAGTGTGTCCCTGACCCTGTCAGCCTCAGTGTTCTGTTGAGTCCAGAGCCAGTTCCCTCGGCCAAGGGGTCCCAGCACCAAGCCATTTGAGCCCACTCAAATAGCACATCGCATGGATGTGTGGGTGTGGAGCAGAGACCCCCGGATCCCAGGCCAGCCTGCCTCCTGTGCTCCTGAGGGGTCACCTTGCCACTGGCAGGGTCACGCCCCGGCTGCAGCCCCTGGGAAGGGCTCCTTGTGCAGCACGGCCCAGAGCCCCTCCACAGCCTTGCAGGGTGACGCGACCCATTCCAGAGACAGGCCACCAGCACCCTCTGCAGCTTCACGCATGGGGACGTGGCTGTAGCCTGTGCATGTTGCCCTGCAGGCCTGGGGCAGTCCAGAAATGCCCCAGACCAGGGCTCTGCCCCACTGGCTGTCCCCAGGCAGCCAGCGGGGGCCAGGAGATAGCGCGAGGTGCCCCCTCCCAGACCGCATGTCTGAGAGATGCAGACTGCCGTGGGCCGGGCACTCCCTGGGCAGCCCACCGCTCCCAGCAGCCGGCTGGGTGGGAGCTGTCCTGGGAGGAAAGGCAGAGGCTCAGGCTGTGGGGTCGTCCTCACGAGGGGCTCTCGCTTCGCTCTAGAGGCCTCAGAGGCATTTCCGACGGGGACCGCCCCGCCTGCCGATCCAGGTACCCACTGAAGGCGAGACGGACAGGAGGCTCGAGGAATCCAGGAGGAGGGCCGAGGTGGCAGGCGGCGCAGGCCAGGGGGAGCGCACGCAGAGAGCAGGGGTCGGGTAGGTGCCGCGTAGTGTCCTGAGCGTGCGGGGCACCCGGCGGCCATCCACTGCTTCAGCGGCAAAGCAGCCTGATCTTCACGTCCACCCTCCTTCCCCAGCAGGAGGGGATGCCCCACAGCCCGAGCGTGGAGTCTTGGGGGCCTGGTGTTGTGCCTGGAGGGCCAGGAGGGGTGGGTGTGCGGCTGCCCAGTGCCAGCTGATTGCTCTTCCTTCTGTCCTTGAAGCTGGATGGGACCAGTGATAGGGCCGTGGCGGGGCACCCAGCACCCTTGGAGAAAAGGAGAGGCGCCCACTAGGCCTTCCTTGCAGGCCAGCAGGACTCAGACCCGACCCGGTGAGGCCCCACCCTCACTTTCTCGGGCTTCCCTTGGGCACATGGGGGAGAGGGCTTGGGGACACTCAGAGGAGCAGGCAGGGTGTGTGGGGGCCGCCGGCTGCCCTCCTTCAAAGCCAGGGGGCCCCAGCTCTCTTCAGGGCTTTGGGGATGATGCGAGGCGGCCCACGTCCTGCATCGCAGCCACGGGAGAGACGCGTGTTTGGAGCCCCCTTTCCTCACTGGGCTTGGGTCACCACGGGCCCTGGGATCAGAGAGTCGCAGCTGTCCCTTGGCGAATCCACCTGGGGGCTGGTGGCGTCCCTGCGTTCTGGTCCTGGAGGTTGGAGGGTCTCTGTCTGAGCCCTGCCCAGGACCAGGTCCCCATGACCTGCTTTCCTCCTCCTAGCCACCCCAAACGAGCGTCAGAAGGCTGTGGTAGACGCCTTCCGCCACGCATGGGCTGGATACCGCAAGTTTGCCTGGGGCCATGATGAGCTGAAGCCTGTGTCCAGGTCGTTCAGCGAGTGGTTCGGGCTGGGCCTCACGCTGATCGATGCCCTGGACACCATGTGGATTTTGGGTCTGAAGAAAGGTACTTGCTCTTTCCAAAGCACGGGGCGAGTTCTCTGCGCAGGCAGTCGGCCAGGTGGGCAAGTCATGGTGGGAGGTCCCCATGCTGCCTGTTCCGTCCGACCACGAGCTCTCCCATCTCCTGCGTGATGGGAGTGGACACTGTACACAGGCAGTCCCTCTGTCCTCTTGTCAGGTGCCCAGGGTTGCACAGGATGGCAGTCCTTGCCCAGGGCAAGGGCTGAGCACTGGCCCTGGGTGGGCGTCAGGGCCACGTGCGTGTGAGCCGCTGGTGGGAGGGTCTCCATGGCGGGAGGTGACATGTGGTCCTATGAAGCTGTCAGTGCCCTGGACCTCTCACTATCATCCCCATGCCTCCGGGATGGGATTAATGCAGGGCTATATGACCCTAGTGAGGTCTAAGTGGCTGCATTAAGACTGCATTAAGTTTCCCTGAACAAGCTGCACCACGGATCACCCCTTGGTCCTCGTATCGTGGCCTTTGCGGACCACTTGTGTTAACATCTCATGGGCTCTGCCCGTTTGTCCGCAGATTTCGGAAGACTTCGGGTTCACCGCCCACAGGGGAAGGATAGCCCTGAGGGTCCTGGGAACATGGGGACCTTACCATGTCCCTCAACCATCTTGCTTGTGTTTTAGAATTTGGAGAAGCCAGGAAGTGGGTGTCAAAGCAGCTCCGGTTCCAGAAGGATGTGGATGTCAACCTGTTCGAGAGCACTATCCGAATCCTGGGGGGCCTTCTGAGCGCCTACCACCTGTCGGGGGACGCCCTCTTCCTGAGGAAAGCCGTGAGTGTCCCCGCCCGGCCCTCCTGCACAAGGGTTCCGCGAGATTCCAGCCCAGCCGCTCTGCTCAGGGAGCCAGGGCTGCCGGCCGCCGTGTGTGAGCCGCGGGTGGGCCAGCGCCATGAGGCACAGACACGGCTGCCTTGTGGCAGGAGGCACCGATCCTGCTGTGTTGTTGCAGGAAGATTTTGGGAATCGACTCATGCCTGCATTCCGAACGCCCTCCAAGATCCCGTACTCCGATGTGAACATCGGCACCGGGGCTGCCCACCCGCCCCGGTGGACCTCGGACAGCACAGTGGCCGAGGTGACGAGCATTCAGTTAGAGTTCCGGGAGCTCTCCCGCCTCACGGGTCTGAGGAAGTTCCAGGTAGGAGCGCTGCGTTTCTGGCTGGAGTGCGGTCTCCCGTGGGAGCTCCTGGCTCCTGGCTCCGCAGGGACGTGCATGTGGGCTTGGGCTGCGTGCCCGCTGTCCTGCGGTCTTTCCTCCTATTTGGTGGCAGACTCACAGGCGGGAAATGCCCCGAGGGCAGGTGCACTGGTGCGGCCCGGCCCTCAGCCCAACAGAGGGCTGCTTGTCCTACCCTTGGTGTGGCCCTGAGCCCCCGGCAGCGTGTCCCGGGGCCGCCTCTGTGCTGTGTCCGGAGGCCTTGTAGTCTGGGCGTGTCCAGTGCAGGCATCTCTGTGGGCAGGTCTATGTGGATGACGTCTCACACATCCAGGCCGTTGGTCTCCCTCAGCTGCCGTGGCCCCTGGGCCGGCCATGCGTACGCAGCCTCTGTCCCGGGCGGGCTGCAGGCACAGTGCTTCCCCACGTGCATGCCCTGGGTGGTTGTGACAGTCCTGACCTCCCTGGGCATGAGATCCGAGCATGAAGACGTGGACCCTGGACGGCCTCAAGGGCCTTTCAGAGGCCTGGAGCTGCTGCCTCCTGGGGCATGGGCTCCGAGGTCGCAAGCCTGGTTCACTGAAAGTCACTTGGCGCCCCAGTGCCTCCCTTGCCCCTCTACCGGGGCCTCCTGCCGTCTGTGCCGAGGGCACATGGCGTCCAGAGCAAGAATGGCACCTCGGGCTTCATCCTGACGTCCCAACTCAGGTGCCTGTCCCCCCACCTACACCCCACTGGCCGCTGCTTGGAAGAGCCTGTGGGGTCAGGCCACGGTCTCCTGCAGCAGCCAGATGGGAATGGGGACACTGAGGCATGGAGAGAGTAAGCGGCCCTGCAAGACCAGAGGTCAGCGGCAGGCCAGGTGCTCAGGCTGTCCTAGAACCCCTGTTCTTTTCTGCTTTTTCCGTATCAGTGTTTAATAAAATGAACATCCAATCTGAAAAATCCTTACCCATCACTGCTTTTCAAAAAAATTGTTACGTAGTGATGAAATCCACATAACTCACAACTTGCCATTTTAACCACCGCTCTGTGCACAGCCGGGGGCTTTGAGGGCGTTCTCCCGGTCATGCAGCCGTCGGCACCTTCCCCCCCAGGCTGAAAGCTGAGACTGTCCCCATGAAACACTCCTGCCCCAGCCCCCTACCATGTCCCTGTTACCTCTGCTTTTGTTGGCCCTGCCTGAGGCGTCAGGAGAGGCCTTGCTCTGAACTGTGGCCCATATGGAGCCTGCCTGGAGGGACAGTGGGCGCCCCACCAGAGAGAAAGGGGTACAGCGTTCACACCAGGTTCCCACCGACTTGAGAGCAGTTGTGCTGCAAAGGGCCAGGTGTTGTGAGGCGCCACCAGGTGTGCGTATGCGGCTGGGGCACCGTGGCCACTGGAGACGAGGGAACAAGCGGCTGCCTCAGGCTCACAGGTGGTGTGGGTGTGCGCGTCAGGCAGAGAATGGGCAGGGGCCTGGGCCCTGGGGTCAGACATGCACAGCCCTGGAGCTGCCCAGTCCAGGCAGGCGAGCTCAGAGGAGCTGAGGTGGAGGGTCTTGGTGGGTGACCTAGGGGACGGGGAGCCGGTGGCGGCTGAGGTGTCAGCAGCGACCCCAGGCTGAAAGCGGGCGCATGCCTGCAGGTAGTCCTGAGGCCTGCGGCTGGGGTCTTCAGGAGCGGTGCCCTGCAGAGAGCGCTGGGAGTGTGGAGAGCCCGGGCTCAGCCCTGTGGTCGGGCCTGTGGCGTCTGCCGGCCCATGGAGGTGCACTGCGGACGGGTGCGCTTGGCTGAGAGCCCTGGCCAGGATCCCGGCCTGCTCTGCCCTCTGCCGGCAGGGAGTCCGCGCGGCCCCCCCCCACCCCTCGCTCACCTGCGCTCTCCCCTACCTGCCACAGGAGGCCGCGGAGGAGGTGAGCCGGCACATCCACTCACTGTCCGGGAAGAAGGATGGGTTGGTGCCCATGTTCATCAACACACACAGCGGCCTCTTCACCCACATGGGAGTGTTCACCGTGGGCGCCAGGGCCGACAGCTACTATGAGTACCTGCTCAAGCAGTGGGTCCAAGGCGGGAAGAGGGAGACACGGTGAGGCCTGCTTCCGCTGCTCGGGGCAGGCTTCCCGCGGCCCTGCCGCCCCACGCCCGCTCAGGCACCCGCAGTCTGGCTGGCCGGGCGGCTGCTGAGCCCTGCCCAGGGCGCATCTGTTCCCAGTACAGCGCTGTGCAGAGCGGGGGTCCAGTCCGTCACTGAGTCCAGGCCTCCTCGGCACCAGGCAGTGGCTGGGGTCCAGGCCCGGTAGGCGGCTCATGGGGGCAGCCCCACTGTCCGTTCCCAAGTGGGAGGTGGCCCCAAGTGTCTGGGCCTCTCTAGCCTACTAGTGTGGCTCTTAAAACCTGCACTTCCCCAGGTAGCAGTGTAAAGACTCATCGAAAAATTTGGAAAAGAGGGATAAGCCTTCCTGAGGGATCTAGAGTCTGCTGAGGTCTCAAGGCAGGGGTGACTGACCCAGAACCCCTGGGGCAGCCCCGGCCAGCCCCATGGGCAGGGACAAGGGTGTGACTGTCTGTGGAGCCCATGCTCCTCAGGCCTAGGTGGACTTGTCAGGTCCGCAGAGGCCAGTCTCAGGTGCTCCTGGGGCTTGTGGGGAGGAGAGACCCTGTTTTGGGGAGCAGAAGGCACTGCCTCCACCCTGCAGGGCTGACCGGCCACAGGCCTCCACCCAAGGCCGGCGTGTCGCCACCTCTCAGCCTCTAGGGTGTGGACGGCAGCTCCAGGACACACGCATGTTCCTGGATGAAACTTGGGCACTGTGGCCCGCTTGGCCCAAGCAAACAGGGCTCACCTTTCTGTACAGGTTGCTGGAAGACTACATTGAAGCCGTCGAAGGCATCAAAAGGCACCTGGTCCGCAGATCTGAACCCAGCAAGCTCACCTTTGTAGGGGAACTTGCCCACGGCCAGTTCAGCCCCAAGATGGTGAGAGTGTGTGTGTGTGGTCCAGGCGGGGCCCAGCCCCGGATGTGAGTGTGTATGTGGTCCAGGCGTGGCCCAGCCCCAGATGGGAGGGTGTGTGTGTGGTCCAGGCGGGGCCCAGCCCCAGATGGGAGGGTGTGTGTGTGGTCCAGGTGGGGCCCAGCCCCAGATGGGAGTGTGTATGTGGTTCAGGCGGGCCCAGCCCCAGTTGTGAGTGTGTGTGTGGTCCAGGCGTGGCCCAGCCCCAGTTGTGAGTGTGTGTGTGGTCCAGGCGGGGCCCAGCCCCAGCTGGGAGGGTGTGTGTGTGGTCCAGGCAGGGCCCAGCCCCAGATAGGAGGGTGTGTATGTGGTCCAGGCATGGCCCAGCCCCAGATGTGAGTGTGTGTGTGTGGTCCAGGCGGGGCCCTGCCCCAGATGGGAGTGTGTGTGTGTTATCCAGGCGGGGCCCAGCCCCAGATGGGAGTCTGTGTGTGGTCCAGGTGGGCCCAGCCCCAGTTGTGAGTGTGTGTGTGGTCCAGGCGTGGCCCAGCCCCAGATGTGAATGTGTATGTGGTCCAGGCGTGGCCCAGCCCCAGATGTGAGTGTGTATGTGGTCCAGGCGTGGCCCAGCCCCAGATGTGAGTGTGTATGTGGTCCAGGCGTGGCCCAGCCCCAGATGGGAGTGTGTGTGTGTGGTCCAGGCAGAGCCCAGCCCCAGATGTGAGTGTGTATGTGGTCCAGGCGTGGCCCAGCCCCAAATGGGAGGGTGTGTGTGATCCAGGTGTGGCCCAGCCCCAGATGGGAGTGTGTGTGTGTGGTCCAGGTGGGGCCCAGCCCCAGATGTGAGTGTGTATGTGGTCCAGGCGTGGTCCAGCCCCAGATGGGAGGGTGTGTGTGATCCAGGTGTGGCCCAGCCCCAGATGGGAGGGTGTGTGTGGTCCAGGCGGGGCCCAGCCCCAGATGGGAGGGTGTGTGTGGTCCAGGCGGGGCCCAGCCCCAGATGGGAGTGAGTGAGTGAGTGATGTGTGCATGTGTGTGTGTGTGTGTGTGTGTGGTCCAGGTGGAAGCTAGGGAGTTTCGGGACCCAGCCATTTGTCCTGATGCGTGATGGCTCTAGTTTTGGACACTGGGGGGAACAGTGAAATTCTGGCCACAGACCATGAGCTCTCACAGGCAAATGGCTGCATGGCCTGGGCTGTCCCCTTGTTGGCAGGGGGCCCCTGGGCTCCCTCGAGGCTCCCCACCTCCTGCAGCTCGTGCTCCTCAGGTGTTTGTGGGGTTGTGGGGGAGGGTCTGGGGAGACCCAGGTCAGCATTTGCTCCTCTGCGAGGTCAGTGTCTTCCCTCTGGCTTCTCTCCTGTCCACGTTGAGCCCCACGTGTTTGGCCTATGGCCCTGTCTTCTGTCTGAGCTGCAGCCTTTGGGGATGTGAACCACTGAGGCCCGATGACTCCTGGGCGTATGGGAGGCCTGAGATAGGGCTGAACCTGCTGTTGACCCCCATGATGCCCCAGGCTCCATGGTGCTGAGGAGACCCTCTGATTTCAGGACCACCTAGTGTGCTTCCTGCCAGGGACACTGGCTCTGGGTGCCCACCACGGCCTGCCCGCTGACCACATGGAGCTGGCCCAGGCACTGATGGAAACCTGCTACCAGATGAACCACCAGATGGAGACGGGGCTGAGCCCTGAAATTGTACACTTCAACCTGTACCCACAGAAGGCCCATAAGGATGTGCAGGTCAAGGTGAGCCCAGGTCAGGGCCAGGACCAGGGCCAGGTCAGGGGCACTGTGGGGGCCTCACCCTGAGCCTCTGCTGCTCCCCAGCCAGCGGACAGGCACAACCTCCTGCGGCCTGAGACGCTGGAGAGCCTGTTCTACCTGCATCGCTTCACGGGGGACCCCAAGTACCAGGATTGGGGCTGGCAGATCCTGCAGAGCTTCAACACGTACACGCGGGTGAGCTGCCCCTCTGGTCACCTGCCCGCTTGGGGCGGCCGGGAGGGTGGGCATCCAGGCATGCTGTGCCCTGCAGGAGGCCCCGCCCCCGCCGAGACAGCCCAGCCTGGCCCAGGCCCAGGAAGCATGTGGCCCAGGACCCTGGGACTGGGGGGCCCCAGCTCCTGCCCTGAGGGACCAGAGTGAGGGGCGTCCCTGCAGCGGCCTGATGCACAGAGCAGGGCCCAGGGCAGCCCTTTGCCACCCTCACTGTGCTTAGGCCCAGCCACCCATCTTCCAGTGGGCCCTCGGCTCAGAGGTCACACTCCGCCCAGGCCCACTACCTGCCCCAGGAGAGCCCCATCTTGGGCTCTGCCCCATGGGGTGGGATGCAGTGGGGTCTGACCCGAGGGTGACCTCAGGGCCTGGGTTCTGGGGGCGGCACTGCTTGCTGTCAGTAAGGGTGGTTGGCGTCTCCCTGGCGACTTTGGGAGACCATGTGACCTATGGGGAGGACGGTCCCCTTGTGGACTCAGTGTCCCCCGCCCAAGACCCTGCCCTGGGTCCATGTGTGCCACCCTGAGGCACCTCTGGCTGGGGACCCTCCCCCGGGCTGGGCCTGGGGCTGGGCCTGCCGTCATGATGCCACTGCCTTGGCTCTTGGGCAGATCCCCTCGGGCGGCTACTCCTCCATCAGCAACGTCCGGGACCCCCACAACCCGCAGCCCAGGGACAAGATGGAGAGCTTCTTCCTGGGTGAGACCCTCAAGTACCTGTATCTGCTCTTCTCAGACGACCCGGACCTGCTCAGCCTGGACACCTATGTGTTCAACACTGAGGCTCACCCCCTGCCCATCTGGGCCCCCGCCTAGGGTGCAGTGACTCCCTGTGGGCACTGCCCAGGGGTCTGACGCGTCCTGTGCTCGAGGACACCTGTGAGCAGGACCCTGGCCGTGGTTAGCTCTGCCCTCCTTTGACCCCTGCGATGCAGTGTCTAGCTGATGGTTGATGCCCGGCCAACAGTCAGCTGGGCCAGGATGTGTGGGCCTCGTGTGGTCTGGTGGCTGCTGGGCATCAGGTGCTCTGCCCTGGCTCTGGGCTCCTTGTCTGGGGTTCTCATCAGACACCATTAGAAACAAGAACTCAGCGCTGTGATTCAGGGCTGCCCCATCCACAGGGGCGCCTCTTCCTTCTTCCCATGAAAGCCCATCATGCCTCACATTCCTGAGACCTGACCACCCTGTCAGCTGGCGCGGTGGCTTCGTGTAGCCCCAGGCCTCTGCTTCCTCCAGGGTCGCCCCAGGTCTCCCGGATCCCATGTGCTCACAGACAAAAGCAGTTCAGCCCAGGGCCAGCCGGCTGGGTCTCAGCCTGTGAACGTGCCCTGACCCAGGGTTCTTGGGGGGCACCTGTGACCTCTTGGGGATCCGGGCTCTTGGCCAGCTATGGTGTTTACATGTTGGACTCAGGGATTCCCCTGCCCAGCCTGGGCTGGGAGGGGCCGGGCAGGCACATTTACCTTGCCCCCTGCCCGCCCCCCGTGGAGTGGACTTTGCAGCGGATAAAGTGCATTCGCTCTGTCTTTGGTGCCTCTCAGGTCTGTGAGGTCGGTTTCCTGAAACCTCTGGGTGGATGTGTGGGGAGTGCAGGTGTCTCCGCCGTGAGCTGTTGGCTAGAGGCTTTGGGAGCATCACCTAGCCCGGGGGGTAGGCAGTAGGCAGTCGCCTGCAGGCGGGAGTGCCAGGGGCCCTGCATGTGGCCACGCCCTGCACACCTTCCCACCTTGGATTCGGCACACCTGGGGCTGCCTTCCAGCGGGGGCGCAGCGTGCCCTGCCTCCTCTGCAGTGAACCGAAGCATCCACCCCCGACAACGACCCAGGGCAGCTCTCCTTCAAGTGAGGTCCCCTGCCCCCCAGAACAGATGCCCCTAGCAGGATGGACCCAGCTCTGGCGTGTGTGTTGAGTATGAACCCATTGCTCTTCTCATCTCTATAAGGTCCTGCCATCCTCACAAGCCAGGGCCTCTGGCCACTGGACATGCCTCTGCAGAGGGCTAGCCTCCAGTGTTGGGGTGCCCCAGTTCTTGGCCAGCGTCCTGCTGGTGCTGGCACCTTAGGGTCCCAGGGCAGCCCTTGCTCTCCCATAGCTACCTCTGGGCCTTCCTCAGCTTGCCCGCAGGCTCGCTCCCTTCCCTGCATGTCCTGTGCCTGGAAAGGTATGCAGGGCACATCTCCAAAGAGGCCTCTCGTCCCAGCCCTGGAGGCTGCACCCCCCACCCCCACCCGAAGCCTCCTTGGCTGCTGTGCAACCAGAATAGCAAAGGTGTCCACCTCAGAGACCCACTGCTGGGCAGGCCCAAGGCAGTAGAAAAAGGGCTCTCCACCCCCCATAGATGGGGCTCTAAGAGAGACTCAGGGCAGGGGTGGTGGTGCTGGTTGAGGGGCATGGAAGGGAGGTGGGTCAGCAGGCCTAAGGAAAGGCACTCCCCACCCTGTGCCCAGAAACAACACACAGTGGAGTTGCAGGTGGTTTTATTAAACACATGCCTGTTTTGAGAGGTTGTGTGCAGGGTGTTCACTCCGCCTGCTCCCTCCTCCTGGGCAGACACCAGATGCTCAGGCCGCCACAGGCTTGGTCAGCCTTTCCCTCAGGCAAGGCCACAGTCCTGCTACCCGGGGCTGAGCTCCAGTTCCAGAGGACCAGCTGCGACTCCTCACCCCTGCCTGGGATCTACGAGACACGCCCCTGTGGGTCTTCTGGTCCTGGCTGGGGAGCACCTCTCAGTCTCTGAGCATCTGTCAGTCTCTGAGCCAATGTTAGTGTCTGGCTGCCTTGACCCACTCGCGGATGAGGGTAGCCTCGAGCTTGCGTGCCTCCAGTACAGACACAGGGTCTTGCGGGTTGGAAGCTCTGAGAGGGCATCGGATGGGGGCATTCAGCTGGGCAGACCTGAGCCTCACACTTTCCCAGCCCAGGTCCAGCCGCTGGCCCAGGCCAGATGCAGTGCCCCCTGGTTCCCCAACACCTCCCACCAGGCAGGGCAGCACCTGAGGTCCAAGTGATGGGCTCCCCCCTGGATGGTGACAGCGAGGACAGATGCGCTCACGTTACTCTGGATCTGTGTCAGTCAGGGACACACCGTTAGGTGTGTAGTGTGCCCTGGGCCACCTCAGTCCCCGTCCTCCCCCCAGCTTGATGCAGCTAAAGTAGCAACTTGAGGTGGCTGCATAGCCTTGAACAGTCCCATTAGATGGGAAGGTGAAGATTCATGAACCTGATGTGAGTTCACAGTAACAAGTCAGGAAAAGAACTAAAAAAGGGAGGGGGGAAATAACGAAGAAGGGAGCAAAAGTGAAAGGGGACAGAACCAAGGGGTGGGGAGCAGCAGGGCAAGGCTGCCGCCGTAAAGTCTAGCTGGCCCCAAGGAGAGCCCTGCCCGGGACTGCTGCTGAAACCTAGGCTGGCCCCAGCTGACGTCAGAGCCAAAGCGCAGAGGCCACAGTCGCCCAGACCAGTACTCACCCCGCCCCCGGCCCAGGGGTCCAGGACGCCGTTGGAGAAGATGATGTTGCTCACAGCTCTGAGGTCTGAAAGGCACACAGCGAGCAGTGGTGGGACGGCCACGCCACACGAGGGTGTGGGCTGGATCCCCGCTCTGCTCCAGGCTGTGCTCAGTGCACAGGAATGGGGCCCCCTCATCTCCAGCCTCACCGCCTCCCCCAAAGGTGGTCTGCAGCCAGTCCCTCCGGGGCCACACTCCCCAAGTGTCCAGGCAGTACTGCTGGCGGAGGGCCTCAGTGAAGGGCAGGTGGGGAAAGATGTCTGTCACATTGTTGCTGGAAAAGGTCAGGTTGATCTCAGTGCAAGCCTGTGGGACATCCCACACCATGGTCAGGACAGCATAGGGGGCGTCTCACCCCGACCCTATCTCTGGCAGCCCCAGGCACCCCGACCTCCATGCCTGGCAGTCCTGGCCCCACAACCCACACACCTGGCAGTCCAGCCCCCTCCAACCCATCTCTGGCATTCAGGGTTCCCCCACCTCCACCCCATTCCTGGCAGCCCCAGAACCCCCAGTCTACATACCTGGTAGTCCCAGGCTTTGGCATCAGGGCCTGAGCCACAGCCCGTGGGGTCCGCACAGGCCTGGTACTGCAGGTAGATGTCATAGCAGGGCTCTGTGCCTGAGGAGTTGTACACCAGCCCTGGGAGAGAGGGGTGCTTGGGTCGGGGGCCGTGGTGCCCACCCTGTCCCCTTACAGGGGTCCAGCAGGCATTAAAAGGGCTCAAAGAGCAGTGGACCCCTGGGGTCTGTGCCTTCATCTCCTGGCCTGTCTCCTGCCCTATGTCCCGCCTCCCAGTAGTGGACAGCCAGCCTGGAACCCCCTAGGCTGGGCAGGGGTGGAGATGGCCTCTTTGTCCCCAGGGTCCGCGTGGAAGCCTCTGTGCTCCCTGCCCCTTGCCAACACGGGCCCCCACTAGGTGCCTGGCCTAGGACTGGGGGGCAGACATACCCACGAGCGCTCGGAGCCCCTTGATCCTCTGGTCATTGCTCAGCAGTCGGTCACAGCCAACCTGGGGGTGCAGGCAGGGTGTCTCAGCAAAAGACCCCTGCTCTTGCCCGTAGCCCCGCCCCACTCACCCTTCCCTTGTCCCAGGCCTCTGAACGGCAGGAGTTTGGAGCAGGTGCCTTGCCTTGACGGGGTTGGCAGGAAGGCGCCCTAAGAAGTCGGTGGGGTATGGGTAGTCCATCATGGCCAGCACGGTGAAGGCGTTCCGGGCAAACCCAAAGAGCTGCCTCAGGTCCTTCTGTCCAGAGAGTGGCTGGCAGGTGCCAAACTCCTGGCTGACTGTGTCATAGGCTGCCGGGAGGACACAGGATAGGGCCTTTGGAAGCTGCTGGTATGTGGGGGGTGGAGACTTGACCAGTCAGCAGGTGGGGGGATGAGGCCTCCTCACCTCCCTGTAGGAACAAGTCCTTGATCTGCCGGAACGCATCCCGCGCAGCCTGGGCACACTTGGGGCTCTGGCCCTCAAAGTCCTGGAAAAAGGGGCAGCTAAGGCTGCTGTGGCCACACTGCCTACCCGGCCAGCCTGCCCGGCCCCACTCACCGCTGACACATCCCGGAAGAACTGGTGGGAGTCGCCAAGGCCTGCCACAGCTACAACGGGTGCACTGGCTGCCAGAGCCCCTGCCACGAGGTGGGGGTACTTCATCCTCATGTAGGCGCTGAGCATCCCCCCATAGCTGGGTGGGGACACAGGGTTAGGGCTGTGGCCTGCCTGCCCCAGGGCAACAGGGCAACAGCCTCCCTGCAGCTCCCCACCCAGCCCCCCCACAGTGTGCCCCAAAGCCTCCCTCCAGCACACCCCCCCCCCGTCTCCCCTGCAGCCTCCCTCCAGCCATCCCTGGGCCCCACTTCCTCTTCTCCTCAGAGACCTGGGTGTCCCAGGGAGGACTTGAAATGCGTACGACCCTGAGAAATGCTGGGCCTGGGACTAAGTGCACTTGCTTCTGGGACAGGAAGGCAGGGACTCACCTCCCACCAAAGGCGATGGCGGGGGCATCCTGGGCCCCCAGATCCCGCCGCAGCGCCTGGAGCAGCCTGGCGAAGTCCGCCAGGGCCTGCTCCACGGTCAGCAGCTCGGTGTACCCGCGCCGCGTGGACCACGCGCCGAACGGGAGCGACCTTCCGTAGTAGCGCTGCGGGCAGGAAAGGCACAC